CTCAGTGATTCACAATTCAATACAACTATTATTCAAACACTTCAATTTTGTCATTTTACAGAATTCTCATCCGAGGAAATCGGTACCCATTTATACTCAATTATGCCATTTTACGGAATTCTCATCTGAGGGAATCGACACCCATTTATACTCAAGATTTCGGGACTTTCACCCTAGACACTCCAGCCAACTTAATTATAAATGGAGCCCATCCCCTATCTCCTCTCAAGCAATGATACATATACAATGTATTTAAAGCATTGCTATAAATAATTACTATCCACAATACATATTCAATGATTTAATCATACCGTCATATTCAATGACATAATTTAAATGACTAGTTTCAATTCACCTAATCCTCATGCATTTTCTACAACAATCATAGCTATCCTCTACCGATAGCCCAATATAGATATTTCTAAATAGATATTTAATCTTTATAACAGATAACTTATCAAATTTCCATAGGTGAGTGATTTATCAAATCCAACTACACCATTTATTCTCACATCCTCCCAATTTCACATTTTCCAAATCAATTTCATTATTTATATAAAATAATCATTCAACACAAATTAGGGCAAATTTTTCCCCTTTCTCAAATATTAATCCCAAGGCCAAATTCACCATTTTAACCAAAGGTAACCTCATATTCAAAACCCCATCCTCATTCATAGAACCCAACATAAACATCCCTCTTTCAAATTAGATCCAAACCCTAACTTTACCCAAATCACTCCCAAACCTCATCATTTATACATAACAACGAATGACTAGGTTAAAAACCATAACAAAGTGTAGAATACCCCTACCTCAAGAGTAGAAGCTCAAAGGAGATGATGAAGAACTTCAAAAATGCTCCAAATTCGGTTTTGTTTGGATCAAGAGGAAGCCCACAAGATTCTCTAACTCTTTAACAAAAGGACTAGGGTTGGCAGATGCTTGGATCTCGAAGTATTTGTAGAGAGTGAGAGTATTTTAGAGAGAGAGAGTGTTGGATTAGGGTTTTTAGGAGAAATGAAATCAAAAAGTGATGTAAAAATTCTCTGCTGTGAACTGATATACGCGACCTTCGCTTAAGTGAAGGAGTTGTCGCTCGAGCGACCAGACACAACAAGCGACCTCGCTCGAGCGCAAAATACAAAGCTTCAAAAGTTTTATAGATGCACATGCTCGCTCAAGCGAAGCACTTCACCTTCCCAAAAATTTTGCATCTGGGAAAGAAACCTGAGGACTCTCAATTCTCGCTCGAGCGCAAGAAACCTCACTCAAACGAAGAAACAAATTTCACAAGGCTCGCTTGAGTGCAAGAAACCACGCTCGAGCGAAGAAGCCAAAATCTGGGTAGCAACAATCTAGACCAACCAACAACCAATCTGTTTCAAACACGCCCAACACATTTTGAAACTCAAAAACAAATGAGGGAAAACAAAACATGGATAACAACATCAAACCACGGAACCCGAGTCCGGGATACAACAAATGTCGGGTCAAAGCCGAAATCACTATAGTGAGAGAGACAGGCAAACCGAGAGTGAGAGAGAACTTGTGAGGATGTGGTGGCGGTCCGCGCTGAGGTGAGATTGAGTGAGGTTTGGTGGTGACAGAATCTATGTGTGAGAGACAGAACAACTTGATGTATAAACATAAACAGGTGCCAATATTTATTCATTCCCTCTAAAATGAATTATACCTTTAGCAACTAAACTAGGAATTTGTCGAAAAATAGTGCCAAATCTTATTAACAGCGACCAAAGTATTAGTCGCCAAAAGTGATTATTAGTCGACTAATTCTCTGGTAGCCAAAGAATAATAGTAAATATGTCTGTTTTTGGTGACTAAACGTCCTTCTATCGGCAATAATTGGTATACAACGACTAAAAAAGGATTTAGTAGCCTAAAATCTAGACTTACGCTGACTAATATTTTTTAGTCACCAAAAAGTGGCATATTCAGCTACTAATTTTTTTTAATCGCCAATAAGTAATATATCTCAACTAAAAAAAATTAGTAGCTACAGCCTAAACAAACACCAACTAATACAATTTTTAGTCGCCAAAAGTTAACTTTTTGGCGAGTAAATTCCTTTTAGTCACCCAATTTGGTCTCCAAAAGTGTAAATTGTTGTAATGAACTGTCCCCAATTTTGTAGGCCCGACATGAAATTAGAGAGTTTGTCCTCCAACATGTCCTTGATGTCAAGCATCAACAAAATGAACTCCTTCACATATTCTCACATAGAACCGATGTGTTTCAATGGCTTCAATGTATCTCTTGAAACCTAAGATGAGTTACAAGAAATGAATTGCTCTTATAATTCTTTCTTCAATAACTCCCACGATTCGATCACTGGACGAGCATTGTTCTCTGTTCCAGTCCACCACCACAATTTAGCATCACCAGGAAGGTACATGCTAATGATCGCTGCTTTCTCCCCTTCTAATACGCAACCTTGAAGTACTGCTCCATATCCCATAAAAAGTTCTCAAGTTCTTTGGCATTTTGATTCCCTAAGAATGCCTTGGGTTCTGTAACTTTGGTCTTGGAAAGAGGGGGCTCACCATTGTTCGAATGCCCATAGACAACCCTCTTTACTAGCGTAAGTTCATTTTGAACTTTGTGCAGTTGTCTTTCAAGGCATCAGACACGGCAACCATGTCCCCTACAATTTCCTTGAATTGATCTGTCGTCGAGGCGTCAAGAGCGAGGAACCAACAGCCACCACATCTAATCGATATGTCAATGAGCGATTCTCATCTTTAGGTTCCCTCCCAAAGTTTCCAATTGCATTACTTGTTCCTTTATAGTGTCAATATCAGACCCATTTTGAGCAAAACCATACTTTGAAACCAATTGTCACAGGGTCAAATTTTCAACTCAAATTTTGCCTATGATGGCACTAAGTTCCAGCACACTTACTCTCAACCAATTAAACCAACACTCACACACAATATGAGATTTAAGACGAGAAAGATAGAATGTACAACATAGCAGCCATTACAGGTAAACACCCAACCTCTTTATTGCTCCAACAATGATACCAAGGATAGCCAATGGCACTTTACTACTTGATAATGTTCAAGTAACCATGGCATGCCCATAAATAGGCTACAATCAGATTTTTGAAATTCAAACAGGCAACAACATACAAGGGGAACATGCCATATAGCATGGCACTTGACACCCCCAATTGCCATAGGGTTAATACAATTCTGAAACTAGCTAGCAGTTGTAACCGCCACCAACTACCCCTACAATTCAGCATTTCTTGTCCTTGCCAGCATGTCTTGGTCTTGCATAACCGCCGCTAACTGCCCCTATAATTTTGTTGCCATGTCTATGTCTTAAACAAATTTGAACTGCCCATGTTACCAGCTAAACAGAGCCTTAAGTGCTATCTATTGGTCTAGATCAAGCCTATGTCAAGCCATCTAATTGTGTCAAACCCCCAAGTGTGTTGCAGCCCAATATTCAGGTTACATTAATGCCTTGCATCTACTATACTGCCCACACTCGGCCGAAGGTTAAGTGATGTTGCCGAACGAAAACTTTTTGCCCACCTTGTCACACTGGAATGCCTCCCTCATGCCTTGGTCCAAGTCTGACATAGGTGCAAGGTGTCACCAAATGTCAGCCATCCAGCCAGCCCTCCAAACATAAGATGCTAATAGTATCCCACTGTTGTCGTCATCAAATCTACTAGTTGAATCCACAGCCATCATCGCCATGCTAAAATAAAAAATATTCAAGAAAAAATTAAACAAAAGACTTAGAAAAATAATAAAAAAGAAAATAGTTAAAATAATATATATATATATATATATATAAGAACTCTATCTTCCACTATCACTTCTGCTTTTGGCCAAGTCATGAAGGCAAGAGTCTCTGTGATAGTAGGGGAGAGATAGGAATGTGTTCCCATGTATCATCACCACTATACAAAAAGAAGTGTACCAAAATTGAAAGACCAACAAGAAAATGTAGTAAGTCAAAAATTTACAAATTTATGAATATATTCTAGGAGAGAAGTAAGTCATTTCTATTATGAGTAAAAATACAACATAAAGAACAATATACAACAACCATTTATTATAGTCAACTCATTCAAATTTACATAAATAGGCAATCTTACTTTTGTGCAAAAAATAAGGAAAGAGATGGAGAGAGATAAGGATTAGGAAGATAGAATAGAGAAAAAGAATATGAAAAAAAAGAAAGAGATGAAAGTGGTAGGAAAGTGCTAAAACTTCTTTGACCGTGAAGTTTATTTTTGTTCAAGTGAATCCAACCGCTAATTTCATAAATGGAATCACAATCATTCTAACTAGATATAAAAGAAAGACATTTTCAAAAATCATTCCATTTTATTATATAATATATGAAAATTCCAAAGATAAATAACATTTCTCTCATTTTCCAACTCAAACTTGTAATGATGCAAAAAAAAAAAAAAAAAAAAAACTTTGCCAAACATTATCTGGGCCCCAATTAAGACTTGAATTAAAAACAAGGCATTTCAATTGAATTGAATGCTTCTACATATCGAGAGCCCGTGAAATTCTTCTTCATAACATTTCTCTCATTTTTCAACTCAAAATTGTAACTGTATTATTATCCTAGTGATCAAAAACAAAACCTTGCCAAACGTTACCTTTTCCCCAATTAAGACTTGAATTAAAAACTTGGCATTTCAATTGAATTTATATGCTTCTACATATGGAGAGCCCATGAAAATCTTCTTCATTAAAGGCGAGCCCATTAAGCACAACAAAAGTCCCTGTTCCCTGAGATGGTTTTAGTGACAATCTAGTCTTTGAAGGGGACCATCTCTTGATAATCTAAGGATGTAAAAGAGGAAATAGCAACAGAATTATATATTATTTTATTTTATTTTTAAAATCTGCTGCGGGTGTTCCTAATGATGCAGCGGAGATAAACCCTGAAGACAACAATTACAGGGAAAGCAAGATAAAACATAGTGAAGAAGCCTGTCAGAATGATTCAACGGTTAATTGCAGTAGATTGGAAGCATTGGTGTGCCCAACGATGGCATAGATGGCTGTGCAATGGCAGTAAATTACATTTTATTTCCTTCACACCATTAAAAGGAAAAGAGCAAAGAGTTTTCATGACTATAAAACAACAAATGTTAGTCACAAAGAATTACGAGCAGTTATGTGTTTGAGAAGCTCAAGAAAGATACAGCCTAAAACATTCTATCAAACTAAATATATTTACTATACAAAGCCTCTCAACGCTTAGAGAATTGTGGGGCTTTTCGAGCTTTCTTGAGACCAACTTTCTTCCTCTCAACCACTCTTGAGTCTCTAGTCAGAAGACCTTCCTTCCTCAGAGGAGTTCTATGGCTCTCACTTACCTTTAGCAGTGCACGGGCAATGCCAAGGGAAATCGCTTGAGCTTGACCAGAAAGACCACCACCATGGGCCTTGACAAATACATCATAGCTGCTTTCATATCCCAAAGCCGCCAATGGGAATTTCACATACTGAAGCCACAATGGATTTCCTTGAAGATACTCCTGCATCGTACAAAATCCAACAAACCCGTAAAAATCATTGAAACAACTTGACAAGGGAATAATCTTTAGTACTCCGTGTAGTTTTTATCCAACAAACTTGAATCTGTTGACTCTGTAACAAGTATTTGCAAATCCTAGAAATTAACATCCTCCTTAAAGACCAATAATCACGCGCTGTCTAGCCCCGGGCTTAGTGCTATGTTGTTTCCAATCTGATGATCTACAGCCCCCCATCACATAATCAAGTTTACAAGATCCTAATTGTTTTCTTATCCATTCAGGAACAAATAATTTCTTTCCTTTTTTCAGTAAGTACTTGGGAACAAATCTATAGGTAGGATTTTAAGCAATGTAAAAGGGACACTACTTTTTTTTTTGAACTCCCAAACTTTCAATTAAAGAGGAAATTGGGATACATCAGAGTTGAGTATGGAGAGAAGAGCAGCAGGTGGGCATACAACCCAATTTACAGGGACACTACTCAATCATGTGAAAATGCAGTGAACACTCCCAACATAATCTACTTTATGATTACGATTGGAGGACTTACCAGCATATTTATGAACATGAGCAGTTCAAGGATTTAAAACTAGAGCGTTAAAAAGCTTACAAGTTCATTGCAACTTCAAAAAGAAAAGAAAAGAGAATCTTAGACTTTTCTGCTCTAAGAAAATAAATAAATAAATAAATAAAATGAAAGAAAATAAAAACAAAAGAAAACAAGTCAGCGGAAGTGTATGCTTCATAATTTATATCCCCAAATTAAAATAGGTCATAAGAATGATCCAAGCACCAGCACAGAATATTCCATTTGTGATTGCCGACACAACTTACCTATGCTGTTTAGACATGGTGGTTTCAGTAACTGTATGATGAGGGCATGATGAGATGCATGCTAAAGACCATTAATCAGGGCATGATAATACACTAATCCACGAAGGATAAAAAGAAGAAGTAAAAAGAAAGAAAGAACTCCATCTATGTCGCAGTAACCAGCCACACTAACCAGCTTCTCCAAGTAGAATTTTAAAAAGATGCATGCCGTGAACTCAATGTAGCTCAACATATCTTCCTTTTGAAATAACCATGCAGGCAGTGAGTGAGCAACTTAAAATTTAGCAATGGAACTACGAGATACATGTGTGTTGTTCCTGTTTTTCCTACAGCTAACTACTGATATTCATCCAGACATCCACATAATCCACACACAAATAATATAAGTTTGAGTTACTTCTGTTAGAATTTTCCCATTTGTGGGCCTACATGTCAATTGTTTTTGGTTTGTGAAAACCCGAGTTGATTGTTGCTTGATCAAATAAAATATATTGGTTATCCCATCTAACAGCTAGTGAACAGTATGGCATAGGATTATTGTGCATCTTAATTACACAGTTGGTAAGAATGAAACATAGTGATAATTGGTAAGGACCACCTAAGTAGGCAAGACTCTCAAAGATAGGCAAGGGTCTTAAAGATAATGCATTATATACAGTGGTCAAGTCCGCACTCTAACATAACTAATTTGTCAAACCCATTTGAAGAGAGAAAACAACCCGTGTTCACGTTCGTCTAATTCCTCCAAGCTTTCAAACCAACTTCCATGACAAAAGGTGAAGATAATATCATCATGTTTAAAAACTCACATGAACTCTACATCGGTTTTATGCTTCAAAACCCATACCAGATTCGTTCAATGTCATTGTCAAACAACAGCAAGCTATCTGCACAATAAGCTCTTTATTTTCTCTATCAACTACTACTCTTTCCAAAATATTTCACACAAGCAACACTACAACAAGCAATTTTAACTTATTTATTCATTTAATTAGTGGTGCATGTATTAGATGTTAGAATAATATAATGTTTTATTTATTTGTTTTTATTTTCCTTTGCTGTAATTAGCTGGTTCCTGATTTTATGCCTTAGGGCTTCCTTGTAATTAAGTTATTTAACTAATATAAAAGGGAATGAAATCATAATCATTCCCTAAGTTTGTTCTTCCTAAATCAATCATGATATCAAAGCCAAAACCCTAAACCCAAAGCCACCACATAGCCACCACCCATCCAGTTTCAGCAACCCATCGTGTGTGTAGGGGTCACGACAGCAGCCAGAGGTCACCCAGGCTGAATTCCCGGCTGCCGAAGGCCACCCAGGCCTAGTCGACTGCTGCCGAAAGCCCACCAGGACCAGTCGGCAGCCCTTCTGCCCATCCGACAGTCCCTCTGTCTGTTTCGGCTCCATCAGCAGCTTCTCTGCTCTCTGTCGGCTCTTGCTGAGGTTCTTCTGAGACTCTGGTTCTGGGTATGTCTTGATTAGTTCATCTGACAGTCTGTTCTACACCTAAACAATCTTTTCTTTTCTTTGGTATAGTACAGCCCCTGCTTTGATTGGTGGTTCTTTTCTTCCTCATTTAATTCATTATATGGTCCCATTAATCTGAATATTATGCTTCCATAGTGATCAGTGCTACACATTGTTTGTTCATTCCATTCCATCCTTCCGTTTTTTGTGATTAGTGCAGTGTTCTTGGGTTAGGATCGTAGATTATACTGTGAGAATATAGAATATATTATTGTGTGCTTTGTACAAATTAGAGTCCTATTAGAGGCATGATTGTGGTAGAGTCCTGTTAGAGACATAATTGTATTTGTATTTTCTTTTTTGGTTTAGGATTTAGGGTTATATAATCTAAGGTCTGATTGTAATCTTTGATACAATGGAATATATAGAAAAGCTATCAGAAATCTTACCCGTGTACAAAACCCTAGTCCCATCAATTGTCGACTCCAGTTCTGGTCTCTTTGGTTCGGCCTCTCTTGTGAGTGGTCCAGCATTGAATCTGATACGATTGTATTAGAATCGCATTTAGCACCTCTTTTCGCCGGAGTCGAGACCCAACCAGAGCCGGAATTGCAACTCGCGACTTGCCCATCTGGCTCATGACTCACCCATCTAGTTTGCGATCAACCCCTCTGTGTTCAACTCTGCCTTACATGATTAAAGCTCTACATTCTTGTGTATCGCGATTAGCCCCTCTGTGTTCGTCGCATCCGATACTCGCGACCCATCAAGTCATTTTGACTCGTCTGCTTATTCGACCCATCTGGTTGCTTCGTTTGGTTCGGTTGATTCAAGAGACTGACAGTTCGTGGTCTCCTTATCTACCTATAAGTCGCGATAAGTCTCTCTCTCTCTCCCTCTGTTGTTGTTTACGATTCCTCTCTTTGGTTCTGGTTTGTTGTTAGTTGACCTAGAAAAGCTTTTATTTACAATTTGCCCCCTCAGATTTTGAGTATTACACTTAAACTCTTGGTTTGGCTATTTTGTTTAATTATACTTGAACCTTTCAGTTTTCTGATTACTGTGATTTCTTTGGCTTCTGATGAGTGTGCTTTCTGCCATCAGAAAGGCCATTGGAAGTACCATTGTCCCAAGAAGAGATGTCTGTCTGCGACATCTTTTCAGCAGTCTTATAATCAATTTTGGGCTTCTCCTGCAGCGTATACTACATCCGCTCCAGCTCCTGATCCTAACTTGGCTTCCTTAACTGCTCAGATTAGTCAGCTTCAGCGTATATTGTCTACCTTTCAGCTTCCCCCTCTCACTGCTCCAGTTTCCAAAGAAGATTTGGTTCACATTGACCCATTTCCTTTTGAGGTCTCGTCTGATGAGTACATCTCCACTGTTCCCCCTGAGCTTGTTCCATCTTCTCCTCCTATACCTCTAGTTGCTTCTTCTCTTCCTTCGGCTTCTTCTCTTCCTTCGGCTTTTTCTCCTCCTCCGTTGTTAATTTATTCTCGTCGCAAGGCTCCTTCTCCACCGGTTGTCTCTGCCCCTGCTGCTGCTCCCTCTGCTTCTGACGACTCTGATCCTACTGCACACCGATATCCTTCTCGAGCATGTCATCCTCCAAACAGGTTGGGTTGGTCTAATACTTGTTTTTCTGTTTCCTATCGTACCTTTTTGTCTGCTATTCACTCTTTTGTAGAACCTCAGTCTTACAAGGAGACCTGTCAGGATCCTCATTAGGTTCAAGCTATGAAGGATAAGTTGTCTGCTTTACAAAAAACTAGTACTTAGAAGTTGATTCCTTTGCCTGCTGATAAGAACGTGGTTGGTTGCAAATGGGTCTACAAAGTCAAGACTCATTCTGATGGTTCTCTTGAGCGTTACAAAGCTCATCTGGTTGCCAAAGGTTTCTCTCAAGAGTATGGTATTGATTATGAGGAGACATTTGCTCCTGTTACCAAAATGACTACTGTCCGTACTTTGATCTCTGTTGCTGCTGTTCGTTCTTGGCCTCTTTATCAAATGGATGTTAAGAATGCTTTTTTTAATGGCCATCTCACTGAGAAGGTGTATATGCGTCCTCCCCCTGGCCTTCACCATCTCTCTAGTCAGGTTTGTCGTCTTCAGCGTGCTCTGTATGGTCTAAAGCAGTCTCCTCGTGCTTGGTATGATCGATTTCAGACTGTTATTACCGAGCTCAGGTTTCATCCTTTTGCTTCCAACTCTGTTTTATTTCTGCGACATACCTCGGCTAGTTTTGTTGCTCTCTTACTCTATGTGGATGATATGATCATCACTAGCTCGGACTCTTCTGTTATCTCTGAGGTCAAGCAACATCTCTTTCGCACCTTCGAAATGAAGGATCTGGGTCTATTACGGTATTTTCTTAGTATTGAGGTTGCTTCTTCTCCCAAAGGTTATTTTCTGTCTCACGCCAAGTATGCTAATGAAGTCATTCATCGTGCTGGTCTTACTAATACTAAGGTTTCTGATACACCTATTGAGCTTAATGTGAAGCTTAACTCTATTGATGGTATCCTTCTGGATGATCCCACTTTATATCGCGAGCTTATGGGTTCGTTTAGTTTATTTGACTGTCACTCGCCCTGATCTTGCTTATGCTGTTCACGTGGTTAGTCAGTTCGTTTCTGCTCCTCGCTCTACCTATTGGGCTGCTTTGGTTCGCGTTCTTTGCTATCTCAGGGGTACCATCTTTCGAGGCTTATTGTTGTCCTCTACTTCCTCTTTGGACTTGGTGGCTTATGCTGACTCTGATTAGGCCGGTGATGTTACTGATCGTAAGTCTACGTCTGGTTTCTGTATGTTTCTTGGAGATTCCTTGATCTCTTGGAAAAGTAAGAAACAATCAGTCGTTACTCGCTCTACTGCCGAAACTGATTATCGTGCTATGGCTCATGCCACTGCTGAGATTGTTTGGCTTCATTGTCTCTCGTTTAATTTGGGTGTCTCTCAGTCTTCTCCGACATCTCTCTATTGTGACAACCGCAGTGCTGTTCAAACTACCCACAATACTGTCTTTTATGAGCGGGCGAAAGATATTGAGATTGGTTGTCACTTTGTTTGCCAGCATCTGCAGTCTACCTTTACCTTGCTTCCTTTCATCCCTTCAGCTTTGCAACTTGCGGATTTTTTCACCAAGACTCACACTACCGCTCGGTTTCAGTTTCTTCTTAGCAAACTCTCAGTATTTTCAGCTAAAACACCTTGAGTTTGAGCGGAGGTGTGAGAATATAAAATATATTATTGTGTGTTTTGTACAAATTAGAGTCCTATTAGAGGCATGATTGTGGTAGAGTCCTGTTAGAGGCATAATTGTATTTGTATTTTCCTTTTTGGTTTAGGATTTAGGGCTATATAATCTAAGGTCTGACTGTAATCTTTGATACAATGGAATATACAGAAAAGCTATCAGAAATCTTACATATACATGGCTGACTTGACTAGTGAATCCACCACCTCTCAGCCACCTAAGGGGAAGAGTCCCGTAATGACCACTACATCTGACAACCTAAATCCTAGCCTTAAAATCACCACCTCTTTATTTAATGGTCAGAATTACCTAGCGTGATCGTAGAGTCCGACACTTTTTCCGAAGAATAGGGGGAAGATGGGTTATGTTGATGGAAGAGTACAAGCACCTAGCACCACATATTCTAGTTATGACCAGTGGGAGATTACAAATGCTCTGATCATGGGATGGCTCATCCACTCTATAATTCTTGAGATTGGTGAAGAATACTTGTCCACAGATACTACACAGGACATGGGATGGCTCATCCGCTCTATTGTGTCTTTAAAATGTCATAGATGGTTTATTACTTTTATAGATGATTTTTCCCGTACTACTTGGGTGTATCTTATGAAAGACAAAAGTGAGGTTTTTTTTGTGTTTCATAATTTGCATCAAATGATTTGTACTCAATTTGGGGCAATTGTCCAAATCTTGCTTTCTAATAATCGAGGTGAGTCTATTGATTCTGGCCTAGCAAACTATTTTTCACCCATGGCATTATTCATCAGACTGCTTGTACCAACATCCCTCGACAAAATAGGATTGTGGAACGCAAGAATCGTCACCTTCTTGATATGGTTTGTTGCATGTCATTTGAAATGCATATTCCTCGGTCTTACTGGGGGGATGTAGTTCTCATTGTTGCCTATCTCATCAACCGTCTCCCAACCCAAGTAATGCACCAACAAGCTCCACTTTAGGTGCTCTTAGGATCCAAGTCTATGCTCTCCATTCCCTCTAAAACCTTTGGGTGTGTCTGCTTTGCTTATAATCATTCTCCTACTTGCGGTAAATTGAATCCTTGTTTTATAAAATGTGTCTTCCTGGGTTACTTGCCTACTTAAAAGGGCCATAAGTGTTATCATCCACCGTCTCGTAATTGGTTTGTGTCCTTGGACATTACTTTCTTTGAGTCGCGGTCCTACTTCTTGTCCTCTCCGGCGCCCCAGTCATCCCTTCAGGGGGAGCCATGGTGTGAAGAGATTCCTGGATCTTTATCAGCTCCTAGAACATTACCGGTGGTTGAGAATGTAGAATGTGGACCAGCTGTGGCTAGGAGTATAGAATCTAATGATCTCAAGGAAGGGAAAGTTTATGTCAGGGACAAAGACAGATATAAAGTTATTTGGATACAAGAGACCACTTCTAATTTGCCACTGCTATGTCCTCCTTTTGATGAGTGTCCAAGTAATCCTGAAACCCTTGTTTCTCCTGAGTATACTGATATTCATATTTCTGAGTCTTCTGAGTATTCTGATCTTGATGTTCCTATCGCTAAACAGAAGGGAGTGAGGTCTTGTACTAAACATTCTATCTCTAATTTTATATCCTACTCGAATTTGTCTCCTTCTTATAGAACCTTTGTGTCCAAAGTTTCTTCTGTTAGTATACCCGATAATTTTCAAGATGCTCTTGCTACTCCTGAATGGAAACATGCCATGATAGAATGCAAGTGAAAGTATACTGTGAAGCACAAAGCGGATGGTTCAATTGAGCGTTACAAGGCTCGACTTGTGACAAAGGATTTTACTTAAGGAGTAGACTATCTATCAAGAGACATTTGCACAAGTTGCTAAGATGAATTCAGTCAAGGTACTCCTTTCTCTTGAAGCCAATCTAGATAGGCTAATTCACCAATTTGATGTGAAGAACACTTTCTTACATGGTAATCTAGAAGAAGAAGTTTATATGGACATTCCTCATAACTTTGAATATGTTAAAACAAAAGGTAAGGTGTGTAGGCTTCGAAAATCATTATATGATCTCAAACAGTTTCCAAGGGCTTGGTTTGAGAGATTTAGGGATTGTTTGGGATTATCTAAATAAGTATACTTTTTGATTTCTTACGAAAAGATGTGCAGAAAAGTAGAGAGGTGATGTTATCCAAATAAGTGCACTTATTTAGTTTATGCCAAATAGTGCCTTACTCAGGCAATGCTTAGATATGAATTCAAACAAAGTCAAGCTGATCACACTCTGTTTGTTAAACATTCTTTACATGGTAAGACTACATCTCTTATTATATATATGGATAACATAGTACTTACAAGAGATGATGTTAAAGAAATTCCTCGTTTAAAGGAATATTTGGCAAGCAAGTTTGAAATAAAAAACTTGGGGAACTTGAAGTATTTCATATGGTATTGAGGTTGCCCAGTCCAAGGATGGAATCTTCATTTGTCAAAGGAAATATGTGCTTGATCTGTTAGAAGAAATCGGGATGCTAGGTAGTCAAGCTTGTGACACATTGCTAGAGCCAAACTGAAAACTTGGTGATGATAGTGGAGGAGTTCCTGTTGACAGGGGGAGCTATCAGAGACTAGTGGATAAGCTCATTTACCTATCACATTCACGTCTAGACATTGCTATTGCGGTTAGTGTGGTCAATCAGTTCATGCATGCTCCTCATGAGGCACACTTGGCTGCAGTTATGCGAATTCTTAGATACTTAAACTCTTCGCCTGGAATGGGCCTCTATTTCTCCAAACATGATTATCTTAGTGTGGAAGCTTATAAAGATGCTGATTGGGTAGGATAGGTAACTGATAGAAGGTCTACATAGGGGTATTGTACCTTTGTTGGGGGAAATTTGGTTACTTGGAGAAGTAAAAACAGAATGTGGTAGCTAGATCTAATGCAGAAACGGAGTTTAGAGCCATGGCACAAGGTGTGTATGAACTTTTGTGGATCGTCACTTCATCAAGGAGAAACTCACTAGTGGCACAATATGCACTCCATTTGTGAAGTATGGTGAACAACTCGCTAATATCTTCACAAAGGGGGTTGGGAGTAAACCGTTTCATGATGTTCTTCGCAAGTTGGGAATGAAAGAGATATTCGCACCAGCTTGAAGGGGAGTGTTAGAATATTTATTTCTATATTTACCTTAGCTATAATTAGTTGTTTCCTGATTTTATGTTGTTTCTTGATTTTATGCCTTAGGGTTCCCTTGTAAGTTATTTTACTTAATTAATATAAAAGTGAATGAAATCAGATTCATTCACTAAGTTTTGATTTTATCTAAACAAACATGTGTTTAAGCAATTGACATGTGTGCCCTCCAAGTGTCCAAAGAGTGTCTGCGTCTTTAAAATAAATTGAAAAAATAAGACATGTTTTGAAGGGTGTCGGACATGCGTCCTAAGAGTGTCCAAATAGTGTCGGTGTCCGACACAGACACGACACGGATACATCCTTTTATTAGAAGTGTCTATGCTTTTTAGATGGGCCAACTGAGTATACTATGATGTTGAAGTCTTTTCTTCTTTCTATCTTTCTTTTTATTTTTTATTTATTTATTTAATCTGTAAAAGAATGATTCTGCCCCTGATATCATCATAACCCTTGTTACAAGTTAAGCTATAGACAGATGAAACAATATTGTCCAAAAACCAGAACACAATTTACTCAAAAATATTAGTTATATTATAGGTCAAAATCCAAACAAAAAGGAAAAGAAAAGAAAAGAAAAGAAATATATATTTACAATGAAATGAGGTATATCAGAGCTCTTTCATATAGGAATCCATAATTATACAAGTAACAAAATATGCTGATAAAAAATTATCTCTACAATTGCTTCAATTTACTACTTTCAGTATAATGCATCAAGTCAAAGTGGCCATTTTCTGAGAAGTTACTATCTACATTTATAGCCCATATCCCAAGAAAAAGGAAATTTACGAATTAAATAAGATACATATGAGCTATTTGGTTAATCATTATTTAAGTATGCAATTAACAAATATGTCAAAAAAAATTCCATGATTCTGCATTTGTACCATCTACACTTTTTGGTATCAGCCAAGCCAACTGGACCTGGACCATGACCCTCTCTCTCTCTCTCATGCAGAGACACACACATGCACCCACATAAATGCACACACATTAGGGCTCTGTTTGTTTTGACGTAAAATATTTTACACCAAAAAATGTTTTTTTTTTTTTGTTTTTTGGCGTTTGGTTGACACTCAAAACAAAAACATTTTATTGCCTAAAAGAAAAATTTTAATTCAATAAAGTGTCATTTATGACTTTTTAGGGAGCTAAGAATTTTATTTGAAAAATCTAAATATGTTGAAAAGATAGTGAGTGAGAGTCAACTTTATAAACATTAACTTAGGAAATTATTAAAGGTAAGTCATTTTTGAGAAAATGATACAAAAATATTTTCCTTAAAAAATGTTTTACTTGCTTTTTGTTCAATCAAACAACGGAAAATAAGTAAAATATTTTTGACAGAAATATTTTATGTCAAAACAAATGGAGCCTAGGATGTATTAGTGTGATCAGCACATAAACATGCATTGTTGAGGGATCATAACTCTTTTAGTTTCTTACAATTGATTTCTCATGATGTACTCTTTGAACAAAACTCTCCACTTCTCATTACTCCATCAACATCATGTAGAATACTCTAAGGCTCCGTTTATTTTCAGAGATAGAATAGAGGGGATTGATAGTGAGGGGATTAATAGTGAGGAATTGTTAAATTATTTTTATATAAAATAATAAAAGAAATAAAAAAATTTAAAAAATTAAACATTAATATTTCAAAAAAAATTCCCAATATAAAAAAAATAAAAAAATTTATAATCCCCTCACTGTTTTTCTAATACCATCTCTACCTTCTCACTATGAATCTCCCTTCCAAGGCCTTTACTAGTACCAAGGTATTAGTAGTCCCCTCCCCATCTCTCAAAACAAACACCCCATATAGTAGTCCCACCTCACAATCAATCCCAATCCCCTTCCTATAACCCCAAACAAACGGGGCCTAAAAGCACACAAACGCAAGAGTTGTAGACTTCTTTATTGTAGACGATACAACCCCATTATCGATACTGTGAATGGAATATTAATCGAGAATCTATGGAGAAACCTTACCTTGGATATTTCAAGTATTGCTGAGGCAGAAAGAACGACAACCCTGGGGCCTGTTGAAAATCAAACCTTCAACATCATATGGCCGTGAAAATGAAAAGTATAGACAACATCAATTATTCCCAATAAACATAAAGTTTGCCACTTTCTTGCAGCATAGCAGTGACTCTTATATGGAGGAACTGTAAGGAAAATAATGCTTTGGTCCCATAAAGCAAATACTTGTTGGTTATTCATACCTTACAAATTACCTTATTGCAATGACATATTGTCAGTGGGTATTAAGAATTACCTGTAACAGCTCCAGTTGTGCAACAGTATCCAATGAAGATGATAGACCTAAAGATACTTTGTCCGGATCCTTATCCTTTATACACTCGAGAAGGGTTTGCAATCCACCCTGGCCAGTAAAAACAAATTTTAATATCATTCTGGTACTTTAATGACCAAAGAAACTTCTGATGTTATTCATTTAGTTTCAATTCCTCGAAAATGAGCAAATTGTGCAACTACTGGTATGTTTGGTTCATTGGAATGAAGTGGAATGGAATGATCATTCCATCAAAATGTCGATTCTCACCTTTAGTTCACTTAAAAAAAAGAAGAAGAAGAAAAATATATTGCAAATGGAATCATCATTCACCATCATAAGCGAATGGCCATTCCAATAAGGAGGCTACAGAATGACCATTCCATTTCATTCCAGTGAACCAAACATTAAAGTGTTATTCCCTAAATAGAACAGGTTAGACACCATGATATTACATTTTTGTATTTTCCATTAACAGATAAAACCAATGCCCGATAAAGCTGAAGCTCCAATTTATTGATGAATATCAAAGGGGAGGAAAAAATCCATGCTTTAAAAGAGGCTTCATATCACTTGGATTGTGAAAATGATAAGCTATATGCTTTAAGGACTTGAATTACATGACCTTAATTACATGACAAATTAAGGTTGGTCCATTCAGCCTCTTTCCCAAATCGTGAATCCCTAAAGTAGAACAGAAATTCATTTCTCATCACTTTGAATTTTGGTATTGTCATCAACAATTTATCCCCAAATCCTTATGTTGCAAACATCATGGATGTAACTGAAATCATTCAAGGATCTACTCACCTAAAATAAAAAAACTAAAGCTGGATAATTAAGTGAATTTCTCTGTGTTAAGGAAATCAAAGTGGATTTAACATTGAAGCTACTGGCCTTTTTCATCTTGTTAATGTAAATTGTGTAAATGTAAATTACCACTACCACTCACTCCACCTACCACCTCCACTACCACCCACTCCACCTACCACCTCCACTACCACCTACACCTACTCCTCACCTACTCCCAAATCCTCTCCTATATAATAGGAATCCTTGTAATATACATAATACACAAAAAAACAATCAATAATATACATCAATTTATTTTACATGGTATCAGAGCTATAAGATTTAAGCCTATATTCCTTTCTTTCCGGCAGGCAGCCGGCAGGCAACCATGCCTTCGCTGCCCGCTGGAGTTTTTCAACATCTCCTACACAGCATCACCATTACCCCTTCCCAAAACCAAAATACAGAAGGCAACAAACCCAGTAACACATGTCTCCTCCGCGTGTATCTGGTGGTGGTAGGTGGACGCCGACTCAAATTGTTGACCATCTTCATTTACTTTGTCATTGTTCAGATCTGCTTTAAGGCTCTTCAGTTTGAGACCCCAAGTCTCCGTCAGGCCTACATTGCCCTCCAAACATGGAAATCCGCCATCTTCTCCGACCCATTCAATTTCACCGCCAACTGGAACGGTCCCAATGTCTGCTCTTATTTGGGAGTGTTCTGTGCTCCTTCTCCCTCCGATCCTTCTCTAAGGGTTGTCGCCGGCATCGACCTCAACCACGCTGACCTCGCCGGCTACCTCCCAACGGAGCTTGGTCTCCTTCCCGGTCTCCACCCTCTTCGGGGTCTTCACCTTCTTTCCGATCACACCCTCCACCCCCGCCATCATCCGAGGTCAATCCTTCACCACCTCCTCCCCTGCCAATCATTGTCTCATGTA